GGTTTAGGGATTTAGGGTTTAAGTTTAGAGTTGAGGTTTAGGGTCAGAAAGGTTGGGTCCTGCGGTTCTTGAGTTTTTGGGTTTACGGTTTAGGGTTCAGGGTTCCTTGTCCCCGATCTTGCAAGAGCATTTATGGTTTCTAAGGAACCCTAAGTCATGTCTTCATGACCCGTATGTTGTCTACAGGATGCTCCTCAAACCCGTGACCAAAGAAACTGAACCCCGAATGAAAGCAATCCCGTCTTCAGGGGCTCACAAACCCTAAACCCTCAAGCACCTCGAAGAAGGAGGCCGAGATGGGCCACACGAAAAGGTCAGTGGGGTCGCCGTCCGAGACGGTCACAACCTGCCGGATTTGGGTGTTTAGGGTTTAGGGTTTGGGGTGCTGGGTGTTTGAGAGTTCCGGGTTCTTTAACAGATCTGGAGAGGTTCTATAAGGCTTGTTTTAAGGGTTCGCTTAAGGCTTAGGCTTTGCAATGCTTAGGGCAGGTTTTAAGGCTTCAATGAATCCCCTACGTCTAGTTGCGTGGGATAGGGCCTGAGAATCCCCGGACGCAGCACTCTAGCAGCGAGTCTTGAACGGGAACCATACCACCGCCGATGAACAGCATGCTGCTCTATCCATACAAGGGCCTGAAGAATTGAAAAAGGCTTGGGGATGCGTTAATCTGTAATTCTGCAGGGACCCTGGGGATAGAATGGCATAGGGGATAATAGGACTAACTACTTATCAGCACGGCTGCCGTCAACTGAAGGTAAGGCTAACCATGGCGTGTCAATGGGCTCCTCAGTTGAAGCCCGAACCCTCCACGCCCGAAACACTAATCCAAATCACAGAGTGGGTTTCGAGGCCCTGCTGGGGCTATCTCAAACATGATCATGTTTAATTCTTAGTGGGTGTTACTACAACAAAAATGTAGAATTGTAGCCAACAAGGACCCAGAATCAAACTATTTCGGGTTTAACCCGAAAACTTTGATCCTGGGTCCTTGTTGACTACAGTTTTACATTTTTGTTGTAATGACACCCACTAAAAAGAAACGGGCCTGCATACGACTGCGCATCTGGTCGTACTCAATTTCCCAGTCTGGCAGGTTGCCCAGCGGCCGCCACATGTGCACAAGATACCTGAGATTCGGGTTTAGGGTTTAGGCTTTAGGTTTAGGGTTTAGGCTTTAGGGTTTAGGGTTTAGGGAGATTCGGCTAAGCCCTAAACCCCTAAACCCTGAAGCACTAAACACGAAACCCCTAGACCTAACTACAAAACCTAAACCCCAAACTCTAAAGCACTGAACCGACGAAACCCTAAACCCCCAAAGCCCGGAACCCCAAGAATGCTCCTCGTTGCATCATACATCCTGGTTCATGTCTTTAGAGTATCAGCTTGAGGGTTGAGGGCTTGGGGTTCTAGGGTTTAGGGTTTAGGGTTTCGGGTTTAGGGTTTAAGAAACACGCGTCACCTTAACTTAACGCTCTATATTACACCCTCCAACGTACATTCTTCAGTTGAAGGAATCTGGATTCTTGGGTCTGCCTTCTGAACCCTGAACCTCAAAACACCCAAACCCTGTACCGTTGTGGAATTCGTAGATGCAGCCTTTAATTCTTAGACCCTTGCAAGAACCTGAAGCTAATCGTGTTAGAAGGTTTTGGGCTGTAGGATGCGGGTGTTGAGGCTTTTGGATTGAGGGACCCCACTCAAACATAGCCAAGCCTTTCACCCGAGGCCTCTTCGAAGGTAAGATAGGGGCCTTAACACTTAGACTAGGGTTTTGGGGGTTCCTTTAAAAGGTGGCTCAAAGGGTTCTATAAGGGCTACTATCAGGGTTGAGGTTTAGGGGCCTTAACAGTTAGAACAAGGTTTTGGTGCCCAATATACTCTACTTATAATAAGAAACCCCCAGAATAGTATTGGTAATGATTCAGGCCCCTAAACCCTAAACCCTAAACCCGCCCCTACATTATGCAACAAGAAAGGAATGTTCGGAGATACCTCAAGAGGACCCCAGACGTTCGGCGGCTTCAAGTCGAAACCCAACAAACCCCAACCCGAATCAGTAGCCCTAAACCCCTGAACCCCTAAACCCCTAAACCCTAAACCCCTAAACCCTAAACCCTAAACCCTATAAGAAAGAACCCTTCCAGCATCCCCTCGGCGGCTACGCCGGCTGCGCAAGCATCTGCCGACTCTCTGCGGCAAGGTTTTGGGGTTTTGGGGTTCAGGGTTTAGGGTTTAGGGTTTTAGGGGTTTAGGGTTTTAGGGTTTAGGGTTTTAGGGTTTAGGGTCTAGGGTTTTAGGGTTTAGGGTCACGCAAGTCCTATTGGTAAGCCTCCGGAGCACCAACAAGAAGTACACAAGCCGGGCTGGCAATAGTTTGAGCAATTAAGGACCGAGGAATACCCACAGCTTCAAAAGGGTATTGATAAAGCAGTGGTGATCGTTTAGGGTTTAGGGTTTAGGGCTCAAATTAAAGGAGTTGACATCGACGGACAATGCCTTTGCAACAGCACATAAAAGTTGCCACAACAATGACAACAAGATCCTCCAGCCTGCTAAGCCTGAATCCCAACCTGAAAACGTAAACCCTGAATAACCAGAGAACCCGTGTAGGACACTCATAGAACCCAGACAGCCCAATACCCCTAAACCCTAAATTAACCCTTAACCCTAAGCCCTGAATTAACCCTTGACCCTAAACCCTAAATTAACCCTAAAGCCTAAACCCTAAATTCACCCTAAACCCTAAACCC